TGTCTGGTCCCTCCCTCCCCCCATGATCAAGTGTGTCCAATTTTTTTTGACGGGGTCTACCTGGTAACCCTAAGCACAGTGCCAGCAGGGGATTCAAGCAATTCCCCACTGGCCCTGTGCTCTCTGTGCCATTTCAAAGCCGCAGTGTTGCATGGAGCCCGTGGTTTGGGGGGAGGAGGCGGGGGGAGTTCCTACCTGACCCTAGGCTCCACACAGTACTGCCGCTTTGAAGCACCCCCTGTTCTTTCCCCTCCCACACTGCCTCTTTCTGATAGACAACACTTTCCCCCCCCCTACGATTGCACCACATTTGTTTAAACAACTTAATTGTAGCCAGCAGGGTGATGACATTTTGAGCACAGTGCCAGCAGGGGATTCAAGCAATTCCCCACTGGCCCTGTGCTCTCTGTGCCATTTCAAAGCCGCAGTGTTGCATGGAGCCCGTGGTTTGGGGGGAGGAGGCGGGGGGAGTTCCTACCTGACCCTAGGCTCCACACAGTACTGCCGCTTTGAAGCACCCCCTGTTCTTTCCCCTCCCACACTGCCTCTTTCTGATAGAGGCCGCAATGGTGGGGGTGAAGCGATTAGTCGAATAGTCGTTCACCTCCGTAGGTGGGACTGCTCAGCCGAATGCTTGAGCTGGCTCCATGAGCTACCCCTGCTGCGGCTCTACAGAGCGGCCCCCTTATTGACTAATAGTGTAGTCAATACAAATGCATTGACTACACAATTAGCCACATATCTGCGCTTTAACATCCTTAGCCCGGCGGCTCTTACTACATTTAAAATGCAGAGTCACAGCAGCAGTAGCGAGTGCACCCCTTATTTATTAATCGAGTAGTTGATGGAAGTTCTGACATCCCTAGGCTGTCCCATGTGGTTCCCTGTACTGTGTGTGTGTGGGGGAGGGGGGGTTGAAGGCTTTGTGCACTGCCTCCACCCCCAGCAAAAATCTCTTGGTTCCCAGTGGGTGATTTCCAGCCATGGGGACCTGAGAGATTTTGCTGGTGGTGGGGGCAGCGTGAGAAGCCTCCCCCCATCCTCCCGGCAGGTCAGAGAGCCATAAGGAGCAACCAGCTGCTTTGAATAGTGCTGTTCCATGCCGCAGGGGTGGGCCTCATGCTGGATGAAAAGTTTGGCAGGTCATATCTTACTAGACCAATTTTGGGCCCTGTTTCTGCAGTATATTTTGTATGGGTGGACCACCACTGATTTTGGAGGGGCTTTGCACAGAAGTAAAGTTCCACCCATATGATGAGTAACATAATTTATGTAATCGATTCTCTCTCTGAGTCTTAAGCAATATGCTGTAAGGTATAACTTAGTTTTCACTTGGAATTTTGGTTGATTTTTTTTTTTTTTAAACTTCATCTAGGTTATTTAGACTGATTTCAAAGAGATCAATTCACCATGCCTGAAAATCCTGCAGCAGGTAGATACCTTCAGAATATTTATCTTTGTTGAGTAGTGAGAGAATCGTGATCCAGATTTCTAATCTGTATTGTTTTGGGGTTTGTCAGATAAGCAGCAGGTGCTACAAATTCTTGATCGTCTGCAAATGAAACTGCGAGAGAGAGGGGAGACTTTCGAGAATGAAAAACTGACTGTTTTATGTAGCACACTCAGAAGCCCTTTGTTTAATCAGATACTGACCCTTCAACAGTCAATCAAGCAACTGAAGGAGCAAGTAAGTTGAAAGTTACGTCTTTTGTCTATTCTGTGGCTATATTTAAGAATTTAAAATATGGTATGTAGGTGTGTCTCCCTTGTTATGCTGCTATTTGGCTTCATAAACGGTGGTTGGGGTGATTGAATGTTCTAACTTTTTTCTAACACGTTGGTATCTAACCAATCTATGGCTCCCATAACTGTAGGATCTGAGTGCCTGTGTCACACCTTTACGTCCAGGCCCCTTGTGTGGATGCAATTATATTGGCAAAACTAAACTTTTGCTAGGATTGTTGTAATGGGACATAAGCCATTATCTGTTGTTTGGCACAGTTTTGCCAGTAGAAGGTGTGTCAACACTAGCAGTAGCCATACTGGCAAAATCTTCCAAGTGCAGACCTAGGCTCCTAAGTGCTCAAGGTGCATTTGGAAATCCACAGTTTGAAAGCTATTTCAACACTCATTTCTTTTACATGTGATTAGGTCCTGGAGAGGAGAGGGGAAAAATAGGAGAGTAGGAAAAGACAGGGGAGAGGGATGTAATAAATATAAGGGAAGGAAACAAAGATAAAATGCATGTTTCAGTCGTTTTTAAATGAAAACAAATAAGGATTGTCTTTTTTTTTTTTTTTTTTTTTTTTTTATGTTTTGGCTATGGCTGTGGTCATGCTGCATCTTTTTCTGCTTTCAGCTGATTCTGCATTCTCCTTGCCTCTTTTACTTTTCCTCCTGTTTTTATTTTGTGTGCAAATTAGACGTGGCCCCTTATTATGTTCCTGTTCCTTTTAGTCCTTTCACAGTCAGGGTACTTCTAGACTACAGGCTTTTGTCGACAGAAGTTTTGTCGACAGATACTGTCGACAAAACTTCTGTCGACAAAGAGCGTCTACACTACATTCAGTTCTGTCGACAAAGCAAGCTGCTTTGTTGACATGGTAGTATAGACGCAAAGGACAGTTTACATGCAATAACACCTTCTGTCAACAGAAACTCTGTCGACAGAAGGCGTTATGCCTCGTAAAATGAGGTTTACCAGCGTCGACAAAACTGCTGAGTTCTGTCGACGTTATGTCGACAGAACTCAGCGGTAGTGTGGATGCAGGTATAGTTTTGTCGACAAAAGTGGACTTTTGTCGACAAAGTTGAGGAAATCCTGAGGTATGTACTAGGTATTGAAGTTCTGGTTTAACATGTTGATAAATTGTTTATACAGCTGCTTTTTGTGCAGAATCTTTTAACTGAAAATCTGTTTCTATATTTGTTTTTTACTTTTGAAGGAAGGTTTTTGACTAAATATTTCTGTTTTTTTTTTTTTAAAACAGCTCGATTACATGCCTTCAGACCACTCGTTAGACTTTGATTTTACTAAGAGAGGCTTACTAGTATTTGATGCTGACCGATCCATTGCTAATGGGAACTTGTATATGGCTTCTAATTCATCTGGAGCCAAAGTAGCTCCTCTCTCTCCAAAACTAGGCATTGATGAATTCAACATGATGATCCAACAAATGGCAAAGGTAAAGCCCTGCCATGGCCAGTGCGTTAAACTTAAGTTTCCACAAACATCAGTTCTTTTGTGTACATTATGTTGTAATAGATCAACAAACATAACTTTCTGTACTTTATCTGGGGAACTAGTGTCTTACTTAGTAAGAGTAGAAAGTCAGACAGATACTAATTACATGAACATAATTGGTGTAATATAGTAGTGATTTACTGCATATATACAGAGCCATTCTTGTACAGGCAGCGGGCTCCACCTATGCATTGTTTAGAATTATGCATTATTTTCATGAGTTGGATTAATAACTTGCTAAATACAGCTACATTAAGGTAGTCAGTATTTGAAGCATAACTTTTCTCATTAGTGCGCTATAACTAAATCTTTTATTGGTTGAATTAAAGACTGAACATTATTTTAAATAGCATAGGTGTGATTAAAGTGTCCCCCCACTCCCAAGTCTATTATACCAGTAATGAAGCCCAGAAAATCTGCACTGGAACTGGAAAAACAGAACAATTGCGGAGAAACATGCCTGGTAACTCCGAAGTGTGAAATTACAGGGGAAGGGAAAAATAGCTTTTGAACGCAGAGCTAAAAACAATCCAATTTTAAAGCAAAAAGCAGCCAAAATATAAGTTGCCTAGTTTAGATATGCAGTATTTCCAGAAATTCCAAATAAACAGCATTTTTTCATACTTTTTGTCCAGTTTGAAATTAATTTCATAGTGTGAATGAAGAATAAAAATGGTTCTTATGTTTCCTGAGAGTTCAGAATCCTTTGCTGCCTGTCTATACTGTGTTCTGTTATATGAAAAATAATAAATGGGAGTATTTTCTAAAGTATGTTCAAAGATCTGCCTTTTTTTTTAAAAGGGAGAAGAATTATTGTTATACTCATAAATTTTAAACAAGATCATTCTACTGTATTGAAATTAACATTTTTTTTTAAATTAGGGCAGGCAAATAGAATATATAGATATAGAAAAACCGTCTGTTGGAGGACTTGGTTTTAGTGTGATTGCCCTTAAAAATCAAAATCAAATAATGGGAGAAGCTGGTATCTTTGTCAAGGAAATCCAGCCAGGAAGCATAGCTGCCAGGTAAGAATATGCATATTCTTATTTTATTAACCATTATTTTTAAAAATCCCTTTTCAGAAATGTGGCAAAATTATGGTTTTGTAGGTTCATAAAAATAACTGCAAAAAAATTGGCTACGATTTTTAAAATGACTGATAATTTTGGAGATGTACACATGTTGTCCCAGGATATTAGAGACGCAAGGTAGCATGGTAGTGTCTTTTATTGGAGCAACTTTTGTTCGTGAGAGAGGCAACCTTTTGCGCTTATACAATGCTCTACTCTGGTCTGGGAGTATCATAGCTACAGAGGATGAAACCACACATTGCTTACTATAGGGGAGGAGGGAGGAGACTTCACAAATATCTCATCCCCACAATATCTCCATCGCCCCCTAGAGGAAAAATATATATTCCCTGAAATCCAACAAACCAGTGAAAAAGGGGGTGCCATCCTAGTCCTCAACCAAGATGACTCTGTTAATGATGCCAAATGACCACTCTGTTATCACCTACTGTAAAGAACTCAGAGAAGATCCCACACTACAGACTACCCAGGAATTTAAGGATATAATGAAATCCTTTCCTAAACAACCTCAAGAGATATTCTTTAACCTCATCCCCCCCAAGGCCTTCTACATCAGTGGTAGGCAACCTGTGGCCCCTTGTCAGGCTAAGCTGCTGGCGGGCCGTGAGACAATTTATGTCAAGTGTCTTCAGGCACGGCTCCTCACAGTTCTCAATGGTCTCGCTTCGCCATTCCTGATCAGTGGGAGCTGCAGGAAGTGGCTGGCAGCAGTTTTCTAAAGCTCCCATTGGACAGGAAGATGATGGTATCCTTTCTTAAAGAACTTCTCTTGTAGAGTCCTAACATACGAGTACCTTCCCTCCCTCTTCTCTCCTACTGCTCTCTTCCCCTCCCCCCCCAAAAAAGGCGAGAAAAGGTTGGAATGGATATAGTGCACTGAGGAACACTTAAGAAAAACTTCCTAAGTTGTTTAAAAGTGTAAAGAGGTGAATTCATTTGGATGTCAAAGGGGGAGTATTATACTTCAGGGCATGCTAGCCTGCTGCTAATAGGATATATAAAATGTCCTTGATCTCTGAATAGACACCCATTCGCGCAAAATTCAAAGAAGTTATTTATCAAAAATCTTCCATGTTAGTAGAATTTTAAAATGGAAAAAACCCCAAAATGCTTCCCATTTTCCTTTTGAGATGAGATCTTCTGAAGGTGACATACGTAAACTTTGGTTCACACAAAGTTCTGGATGTTGTTTCTGTCACAGCAACTGGCCTAGGGATCTGGAAGAGTAATTTTATAAATATTTTATGAAGAAGATTAAATATTTTCTAATCACAGGTGTAAATTCATCAATAAAGTGAATGAACTTTGTAGGAGTTATACCGTCTTAGAGTAGCAATAAATCGTGCCCTCTGTTCCCAGGAGAAAGTAGATTCACTCCTTTTTATGTTTCCTCACTGGTTAAGGGAGGTGAGTTCTTTGTATGTTAGATTGCTTTATTGCAAAATCTGTTACAACAAACTACCTATGTTTTCTAAATGTACATCTTGATAACCTTTAGGTTGAATCAGAGAAAGCCAGTTAGTACTGTCCAAACTTGGAGATAAGGTCACATAGTGTTAAAAGGGGGGAGGGATGGCTCAGTGGTTTGCGCATTAGCCTGCTAAACCTAGGGTTGTGAGTTCAATCCTTGTGGAGGCCATTTGGGGCAAAAAATTTAAAAGGGGGGGGAGGGATAGCTCAGTGGTTTGAGCATTGGCCTGCTAAACCCAGGGTTGTAAGTTCAATCCTTGTGGAGGCCATTTAGGGATTTGGGGCAGAAATTGTCAGGGATGGTACTTGGTCCTGCTGAGAAGGCAGCAGACTGGACTTGATGACCTTTCAAGGTCCCTTCCAGTTCTAGGAGATAGGCAATCTCCATTATTAAAGAAATGAAAAAGATGTTATCCCCTCACCCTCTTGTGTTACTACAAGAATTGGCTATCTCTGATATAAAGTGTAATCAAGAATGAACTAGAATTTCATTGAATTTTGAATGGGAACCCATTGAAAAATCCATCAAGTTTATGTGATGTAGTGTTGCAACAAACATCAGTTGAGCTGGGTTATTAAATAGAATGTACCTAACTTGTATGCTAATAGAGACCTGTAATAAATGATCACTTTTAATATAATGCAATATTACCGGGTATTCTGAATATTCTACTTTAGATTACAAAATCCTGGAATGGGGTTACCTCTCTTTAAAAAAAATTATTTTAATCTTTTATCAAGGGATCAGAGATTAAAGGAAAATGACCACATTCTGGCCATTAACCACACTCTGTTGGATCAGAACATTTCCCATCAGCAGGCTATTGCACTGCTGCAACAGTCTACTGGAGCTTTACATCTGGTTGTTGCCAGGGAGTCAGTCCAAAGAAACAGCGGAACCTCTTCTGTTTTAAGTGACACACATCCACCTGAGACTGTGAGTTGTTATACTATCAAAAATCAGATTTTGGAAGGTGTTAATGCTTTTCAAACATATGACAGGAGTTTTACAGTTTTCACTATTTTTGTTTTACAGCAGCTAAGTGTATGTTTTTTTACTTGTGTGTAAGAATCACGGCATTTTATTTTAACATTGTCATGCTCTAAATATGTTTCTGAATGAATTTGTTTTAAAGTAGATTTTGGGTTTTTTGTGGGGGAACTGGAGTTGAAGATTTAGTAGCCCTACCTATTCTCAGTAAAGAATAATTTAGAGGGGGCAGGGTAGTGCAATTTTGAGATCTCCCAATGCAAGCCATTTTACCCTGGGCAATTGGATAATGATTTAGAAGAGGGTAGGCAGTGCTTACTTTCAGCATTCCCCACTAGAATATGATGTTCTGCTAAAACCTTAACTCCCCAAAGCAAAGCCTTTATTTAAATGAGTGATGCATACATGCATCACTGTGAGAGGTAACAATTTTATTGCATGAGTGGTTTGCCAGTTTTGCATGCCGACTTTCATATGTTGCTACTCTCAGCTGATTGTGAACCCACTCATTTTCTTGAGTTCAAGAGATTATCTTGTAATCTCACAAATCCTGATCTTGAGCCTGTGTCCTGGTTTCACTGAATCATTAAAACATAGAAAAATAGACATGGAAGGGACCTTGAGAGGTCATTGAGTCCCGTCCCCTGCCTTCACAGCAGGACCAAACACTGTCTAGAGTCTAGACCATCCCTGATAGATGTCTGTCTAACCTGCTCTTAAATATCTCCAGAAATGTATTCCAGTGTTTAACCACCCTAACAGTTAGGAAGTTTTTGCTAATGGCCTAACTGAAGGGCCATACAGTCTGAGTGCAGAAGGGCCACGTAATCTGAGAATGGTGTTTGCAATATTGGAATCTTAATTTGTTATATTGGAAGTTTTGCTGGAGATTGAGTTAAGAGGGATTTTTTTTATACTGGATAATTATTTCTCTCATGAATATTATGGAGACAGTGAAATTTGAAGGTTTTAGTAGATAATCAATATTGTTTATTGCTCTGAACATTTTAAAGAATTAAACTTTTACTGCTTTGTCATTAAAGGAGTTGCACCAAACAGACTAACAAAATAAAATAGAAATATATATCTCTGTGGGAGGTCTTTCAACTTCCTTTATGACTTTTAACTGATCTTGGCCAAGACTTTCAGTATGCTAATAAATCCTTTAGTCACAGATGTCTTAAACATGTCTTCTTTATCTCATTTTAGTTTCTACGTAAGAGCTAATATAACAGGAAAAAATGGTTAGGCTCAATTGTTTAACAGGGGAGGAGTTCTCATATTGTCTTGTACACTACAAGGTTGTAGTGCAAAACAGCTTAGACACACCCAATAAAGTATGGCAAAATTTATATTGTGCTATTCATACAGAGTGGAGAGGAACTGTACAGCATGTAAGTGAAATAACAGAAGTAGGAGACTGATCATATATTTTAAAAAAAACAACTAGGATAATGCAGACTGCTCACTATTTCTCTCCCTGTGGGTTGCAGTAAACTTGATTTACCAGAAATTAAAAGAAATCTTAAAATTGCCATTATGTAGTCCAGAATGGTATCTTATGAACATGAAAAAACCCATTGACTGAGTAATCAAGACTCAATATGGCTCCAGTTATATGTGGGGAAATTACTCTGAATTAGATTATTACTAAATCCTGGTAGATATGAAAGCTGGAAATATTGATAATGTACTGAAATTAAAATCTCCCCCTTCTATTAATTGTAGATTCAGTGGGGCCATACTGAAGAAGTTGAACTGATTAACGACGGCTCGGGATTAGGTTTTGGAATTGTAGGAGGAAAATCCAACGGTGTTGTTGTAAGGACTATTGTTCCAGGTGGATTAGCAGATCGGGTAACTTGTTATTTTATGTTTCTTCTTCTTTAGTTTACTAGTATAACAACTTATTTTAGCACTCCTAAAACAAACCAATATATGTAAACAAAAGGAGTCTGATAGCATTAATGACTGAATGCCTATATATGAATAAAATATAACATAGTATGTAGAAATAAAAACATGTTAAAGCTATGATAATTGACAAAAAGTCATCACTGGAACTGAATTGTTACTTCTCAGGCATGGCATGGGGTTTACTGCATTCCAGAAACTTTACTTGCTGGCCCAGCCTTATAATTAGCATTCAATAACATTTCAACTATGAGTCATCAGTGTTGGGACAGCTACTCTTAAGAGACATGCAGACTCTGTAGAGAATGTATATATTTGGTTACAGTTCTGGGGACCAGCTCTGTCATTTCACATTCTCATGTGCATAATCCTTAATCAAGCAGGCTAGTCCACTAAAGTTGTTGGTATTTACTTGCATGCTGGGCTGGCCTTATGAAAGAATGTGTCTGGATGCCTGCCCAGGATTCCGTGGTTGAGGCAAAGAGGGGGATGGACTTGGGGTACAAGGCTATGGAATGGAGCTTGGAGAGTGGGAGGGGGGCTGGCAGTAGGGCCTAGACTTGATGTGCAGTAAGGGGGGAGTCTGGGGAGGCAGTAGGTCCAGAGGGGATGTTGGAGGGTTAGGAGAGGCAGCGGAGGCTGGGATGATGGGGAACTTGGGGAGCCAGCTGAAGTCAGGGTGCCAAAATACAAGCTCACCCAGGGCACCATTTCCTGAAGGCTGGCACAGTTGCATGATTGTGTGTTCATATGTAGGTTATAAAAGTAAATTATCTTTATAAATATGAAGAGGACTGTGCCTGAGCAAAGCTCCACTGAAGTCAGTGATACCTGTGATAGGTGCATGGATTCACCTGCCTGGATCAGATTGCAGCCTTGGGGTCTTAGTCTTTAAAGACTCAACCATAACCAGTACTGACTACTCTCAATGGCAGCATTAACAAGTTTGGGATTTCAGTGAGAGCTCCTCAATGACTAGTTTTACTAACTGCTGCCTTACAGGTGCAAAAAAACCTCATCTTGCTTTTTAAAATCTTAATGTAAGATAAGAGGCAGATTATAGAACTTGTTCTAATTTAGAACAGAAAAACAAACTGATTATTTGTAGAGCTGGAATGGAAAAAGTCAGCTGCTGCTTGAGAATCTTCTCCTCAAAACTGTTTGCAGTGATGAATGCTTTTTCACTCACTGTGGAACACCTCTTCTGCTGAGAAGAACAAAATATTTTGGTTTCCAATGACCGCTGTACATTAAGATAGGATTCAATTAAAGATGAGGTGAGATTCAGTTAAAAATGTGAAATAATGAGCTTGTATGTGATCAAGCTCGATGAAGTAACACCTGGAAGTAAAACCAGTATTAATGTGTATGTTTGATGAGCTGGGTGAAGTCCTCAGCTGGTGTAAATCAGTGTTTGTAAGTCAACAGAACTATGAAGATTTACAACAGCCGAGGCTATAGCCCCATGGATGTGTCATATAGTTCTTTCTTAAAGTAAAAATAGCTGAATCAAGCCCTAAGTTGCAATTTTTTTAACATAAGTAATCCTAGTCATAAATGTAGTCCCATTATATTCAGCAGAGTTACTCACTTGGGGAAAGGCTGATCATGTGAATAAGACCTGCAGGGTTGAGTTTTTAATATTTGACCTTTCAGGTTCTTCTGATAGCCCTAAATCAACAGGCTGTGCTTTGTATCCCTGAAGCCCTCTTTTTGCTATTTGATAGCATAGAAAATCTCAGACTATACAGGATTAGAAACCAGGCTCAGCATTTGTTTCCCTGTAAATATGAAATTTAACCTTTTTCTTATTAATTTTTAATATTAATGGCTTATATGGTTTTACTCATTTTGTTTTAAACAATGAGCTGAAATACTGCTAACAGCTATGGGAAAAAACAATGATTAAATGTGTTAGCATTTTTTTATATTTATTTTGCAGAATTAATTTTATGATTTTTATTAACTAAGTGCTCTGTGAAAATATAGTATTCAATTTCAGTCTGCAATGTAAAATTTTGGTCCAATTGTTGACTCTCTCTTTTTTTTTTTTTTAAATATGCTATATGTGAAGGATGGGAGACTTAGAACAGGAGATTACATATTACAGATTGGAGGAACCAATGTACAAGGAATGGTCAGTGAACAAGTTGCCCAAGTGCTGAGAAACTGTGGGAATTCTGTTAGGATGGTGGTTGCAAGAGATCCAATGTGTGAGATTACAGTGACTCCGCCAACTCCTGTCAGCTTGCCTGTTGGTGCATCGCCTTTTTCTCCAAACAAGGGTGTAAGTATCTGACATTTCCTCACAATTCTTCAAATAAGTTCTGTTATGACTTGCAGCCAGGAAGAGAGGGCACAGCATTTACAAGTGCTAAAGAGCTTCAGACAGATTGCAACATATTCTATTTCCAAATATATCATAGTATCATCAGGTCAGCGTTCTGTAGTCAACTATAAATACCTGTTAATGGGATCATAAAAACATTACCCGTAAATGGAACTTTCAGATCCCTTCCTAGCTCATCACACTTTTTTGCTCACCTGAGTGGATTTAAAAAGTGGTGTTGACTTTTTTTTGTTCCCAAAATATAACATGAACTATGACCAGAACAGAGTTATTCAAAAGAGTGATCTGTTTCTCTTTATGACACATAAGCATAACATCTTCCTATTCTATGCAACTGTCTTTGATGGAAAATGTATTTTAAACATTTGAATCTTGTTTTAGCAAATGTCTTCCTGGTCATATCAACGTTGCTTGTTTTTTCTTAAGTTATCCTCTTCTGTTTTGAATAATTAAAATCAATAAATGCTACACTAAGTGTACAGTAGGTCTGGAAACATCAACAAAGCTGTGTTTGTACACCATCTGCTACTAATGTTCTAGTTAGATTTAGGTGTCATATCTTAGGGCACGTCTAGACTACATGGCTCCATTAATGGAGCCATGTAGATTTGTTTACTCGGCAAAGGTAAATGAAGCGGCGATTTAAATAATTGCCACTTCATTTAAATTAAAATGGCTGCCGTGCTGTGCTGATCAGCTGTTTAGCGTCCAGACTACAGCGCTGTGCCGCCCCGTGGTTGACATTAAAGGCATTTGTCGACCTCCCCGGTAAACCTCATCCCACGAGGTATAAAGGGGAGATTGACAAATGCCTTTGATGTCGACCGCGGAGCGTCCAGACGACAGCGCAGTGCCGCCAAATAGCTGATCGGCACAGCGTGGCAGCCATTTTAATTTAAATGAAGTGGCAATTATTTAAATCGCCGCTTCATTTACCTTTGCCGAGTAAACAAATCTACATGGCTCCATTAATGGAGCCATGTAGATTTGTTTACTCGGCAAAGGTAAATGAAGCGGCGATTTAAATAATTGCCACTTCATTTAAATTAAAATGGCTGCCGTGCTGTGCTGATCAGCTGTTTAGCGTCCAGACTACAGCGCTGTGCCGCCCCGTGGTTGACATTAAAGGCATTTGTCGACCTCCCCGGTAAACCTCATCCCACGAGGTATAAAGGGGAGATTGACAAATGCCTTTGATGTCGACCGCGGAGCGTCCAGACGACAGCGCAGTGCCGCCAAATAGCTGATCGGCACAGCGTGGCAGCCATTTTAATTTAAATGAAGTGGCAATTATTTAAATCGCCGCTTCATTTACCTTTGCCTACAACCCTAATCTACATGGCTCCGTTGACAGAGCCATGTAGTCTAGACATGCCCTTAGAGTAGTCTTTTCTTTCTTGACTATGACTTGGAATTGGACAGGGGCTGTTCTTTAAAACACAATTTATGATTGTGCTCTTTTCGCACTAGACCAGCTTGCTCCAAAGACCGCTCTTAGTTTCTGGTGAGATGGAGTATTTCATGTTTCTTTGGTGAGACTCCTTTGGAAGAAGCTACAGGTTTAATTTCTCTAGTGCAGCACTCTTGGGACCTGACTGGTACTGAACCAGAGAATTTGCCAGACCATGGGAGTTCAATATTGTCTAGCAGCATTACCAACACTTCTGCTCACTGGGCTTTTAGAAGACATTTAGGGGTAAATTAGCTAAATAACACAGAAGACTGAAAGCCAGGACTGGTGGTTTTAAACAAATTTTATAGGAATACTGGAAACTTGGCCACACTCGTAAATGGACAACTGGCTAACTAAAATCATGCCAGACCACGGATGTTGCTGGACCCAGAGAGTGATGGATTCTGTAGTAGAGGACAGGTGATGTAGGGAACCTGTTCAGTGTGTCTCTGAAGTGAGGTTGTGGTAACAGCAGAGGAAAGATCCTACAGTTCAAATGGATGACAGTGAAAGTTTTTCTACTTCCTCCTGTCTTCTCACTTGCCCTCTCAAATTTTTCACCACTTTAGGAGTTACTGTTGTGGCCAAAGAGACATTGGTTTAAGTAAATTGTTATCCTGAATTTTTTAAGTTTGATGTCTTGAAAGGGGGATTTGTGTAGTGCCCTGAAAACAGGTATTGCCTAAAGATTCTCCATTGCCATATAGAACCACTTGCTGGCTCTGTCACATTTTCTAATACTCTGTAGCCATAACTTTCTGTTCCTAGCATTGTACTATTTTCTCACTTTTGCGCTAGAGACTGACCTTCAGATTGACTTGTTCAGCAGTATGCATGTGCCATAGATCAAGCTGCAACAACCCTGAATGCTCTAGCTGCTGCAGACCTTCTAAAATGTCCTCCTTTGTGGTGTTAGATTCGTACTGTTTTTCCCACTTCTTTCCGGAATCCTTTGTTTCTGTGACATCTAGAATAAACTCAGTTGTTGCTAGTCATGACATCTATTGCATTGTTTGCCGGCAGAGCCCAAGCATTTAGATTGAATAAGTATCTGCTCAATTTGCTGATAGATTAGTCTCTGCAGAAATTGACAGCAGTGGTTAACCTGAATGTGGGGGGGAGGGGAGTTATGCTTCATTTATTGTACTTGTTAAAGGCAGGTCATGAAAATCACTTTGCACCAAGGAATCTACTGCACAAGAAAGAATTTTTACTATCATAATATTGTTCTCTCTGACTTTTGAAAAGGTTTTTACTAGCTGAAATTTTACAAAGGCAAAGGGTTGTTTTTTTTTAGCTTTATGATTACCATTTAAATCAGTCAAAATGTTCTGAATTGCCAATTTGTTTGTTGTATATTAAACTACTAGTCTTGCTTTAAGCTGCCTCAGTTCTCTATCATTGTTTCTAAATCTACACTCCTCTCTGCATACCCATATAAGGAAACAGAAAATCTAATACAGTTAATCACGCGCAAGGCACATACCTACAACTCACCAGTTTAGCCACAATTCAGGAATGGGCTGTTTACTGGTCTGCCAACAGAGGGAGGGAGGCAAAGGGGTAACTGCTCTGGGGCCCAGCAATTTAAAAGAGCCTGAAGCTGCTGGTCACCACCGCTACCATGACAGTAGAGAGCCACAGGCCATTTAAATTGCTGCTGGAGTCCTACGTTGCACACTCCAGGTGGCTCTGAGGGCTGGGGGAGGGGTTGGGGCAAATTTGGCGCAGTGTGGTCTGGGTGGAGCTTAGAGCTGGCTACCCCTAGCTCTGCCCCATCTGGAAGTGTGGAGCCACCCCCCTCACCTTGCCCTGGGGCCCGGCAAGTCTGTCTGTTTATGTTTGGGATTGTGTGTGTCTATTTCCTAGACTTTACCTGTTAACTTCACTAATCTACTTCCAATAACACGCCATAGATGAATATTTTTTGCAGAACTAGGAAATAGTCTGTTCTAGTCCCTCTCGTGCTAAGGATTCTGGCATTACCTTTGAAGAAAAGATCAAAATTGCTCTGCAGGGAGAAACACAACCAAAGATTAAGTGAGCAATTGCATAATGGGGGATGGCGAGGGCCAGCTTCATGGGACCAATTGGTAAACTTCTCCTGGGATTGGACTATGTCCAAATATCTTATTTGATTGTAACCACTCACCTAGGAAAACATTGATCAGATAATTTGAAAGCCAAAAAAATGGGGCAAATGATGTACTATTCAAATCTTCTCTGTTAATTTCCCATGATAGCGGTACACAGACTATCCAATAAGTTCTTGGACTGCATTGAAAACAACTTTTTTATTTCAGAAGGTTGAAAAAGCTACTGGGGGGAAAGCTGTTCTAGATTTGATTTTAACAAATAGGGAGGAACTGGTGGAGAATTTGAAAGTGGAAGGCAGCTTGGGTGAAAGTGATCATGAAATCATAGATTTCATGATTCTAAGGTATGGTAGAAGGGAGAACAGCAAATTAGAGACAATGGATTTCATGAAGGAAGATTTTGGCAAGCTCGGAGAGATGGTAGGTAAGGTCCCATGGGAAGCAAGACTGAGGGGTAAAACAACTGAAGAGAGTTGGCAGTTTTTCAAAGGGACATTATTAAGGGCCCAAAAGCAAGCTATTCCGCTGCGTAGGAAAGATAGAAACTATGGCAAAAGACCGCCTTGACTTAACCAGGAGATCTTGCATGATCTAAAAATAAAAAAGGAGTCAGATAAAAATGGAAACTAGGACAAATTACAAAGGATGAATATAGACAAACAATGCAGAGGCAAGATTAGAAAGGCAAAGGTACAAAACAAGCTCAAAATAGCTACAGGCATAAAGAGAAACAAGAAGACATTCTATAAATATATTAGAAGCAAGAGGAAGACCAAGGACAGGGTAGGCCCATTGCTCAGTGAGGAGGGAGAAACAGTAACAGGAAACTTGGAAATGGCAGAGATGCTTAATGCCTTCTTTGTTTCGGTCTTCACCAAGAAGTCTGATGAAGGAATACCTAACATAGTGAATGCTAGTGGGAAGGAGGTAGGTTTAGAAGATAAAATAAAAAAAGAACAAGTTAAAAATCACTTAAAGTTAGATGCCTGCAAGTCACCAGGGCCTGATGAAATGCATCCTAGAATACTCACGGAGCTGATAGAGGAGGTATCTGAGCCTTTAGCTATCATCTTTGGAAAATCATGAAAGATATTCTGGAGAGATTCCAGAAGACTGGAAAAGGGGCAAATATAGTCCCCATCTATACAAAGGGAAATAAGAACAACCGAGGAAATTACAGAGCAGTCAGTTTAACTTCAGTGCCAGTAAAGATAATGGAGCAAGTAATTAAGGAAATCATCTTCAAACACTTGGAAGATAATAAGGTGATTAATAAGGGAACAGCCAGCATGGTTTTGTAAAGAACAAATCATATCAAACCAATATGATAGCTTTCTTTGATAGGATAACGAGTCTTGTGGATAAGGGAGTAGCGATGGACGTGGTATACCTAGACTTTAGTAAGGCATTTGATACGGTCTCCCGTGATATTCTTATCAATAAACTAGGCAAATACAACTTAGATGGGGCTACTATAAGTTAGGTCCATAACTGGCTGAATAACCATTCTCCGAGAGTAGTTATTACAGTTCACAATCCTACTGAAAAGGTATAACAAGTGGGGTTCCACAGAGATCTGTTTTGGGACCGGTTCTGTTCAATATCTTCATCAATGGTTTAGATATCAGCATAGAGCGTATGCTTATTAAGTTTGCAGTTGATACCACGCTGGGAGGGGTTGCGACTGCTCTTGAGGCTACGGTCATAACTGAAAATGATCTGGACAAAGTGGAGAAATGGTCTGAGGTAAACAGGATGAAGTTTAATAAGGACAAATGCAAAGTGCTCCACTTAGGAAGGAATAATCAGTTTCACACATGCAGAATGGGAAGCGACTGTCTAGGAAGGAGTATGGCAGAAAGAGAACTAGGGGTTATAGTGGACCACAAGCTAAATATGAGGCAACAGTGACTCTGTTGCAAAAAAAGCAAACATGATTCTGGGATGCATTAACAGGAGTGTTGTGACCAAGACACAAGAAGTCATTCTTCCGCTCTACTCTGAACTGATTAGGCCTCAATTGGAGTATTGTGTCCAGTTCTGGGCACCACATTTCAAGAAAGTTGTGGAGAAATTGGGGACGGTCCAGAGAAGAACAACGAGAATGATTAAAGGTCTAGAGAACTTGACCTATGAAGGAAGACTGAAAGAATTGGGCTTGTTTAGTTTGGAAAAGAGAAGATTGAGAGGGGACATGATAGCAGTTTTCAGATATCTAAAAGGGTGTTACAAGGAGGAGGGAGGAAAAATTGTTCTTCCTGGCCTCTGAGGATAGAACAAGAAGCAATGGGCTTAAACTGCTGCAAGGGAAGTTTTAGGTTGGACATTAGAAAGAAGTTCTTAACTGTCAGGGTGGTTAAACATTAGAATAAATTACCTGGGGAGGTTGTGGAATCTCCATCTCTGGAGATACTCAAGAGTAGGTTAGATAAATGTATGTCAGGGATGGTATAGACAGGACTGAGTCCTGCCATGAGGGTAGGGGAGTGGACTCAATGACCTCTTGAGGTCTCTTCCAGTCCTAGTAGTCTATGATTCTGTGTTGTGATAAATCTTCTCATCTCTTTTTAAGCAGTATTTTTTTTATTCTAATTTTCTCCCCAGTACCATGTGTTAACTTGTGTTCAGTGGAAGTGATTTTTTTTAATGTGGCTTTAACTTCCTGTTGTCACTTTGTAGTCTGGAGAAGTTCTTTGGAGCGTCCACTTTTCTGTGAAGTCCAGTTAATTTCAAATAAGGATAGCAATGATTTCAAATTTGCCCTTAAAAGTAATTTAGTAGATATGTATATAGTTGATATAAAATGGCTTCTTGTGCACCTTCCTTCATCTTGGGCACTGTATTCTGAAATATGCCTTATTGCACTTGTTGGATATAATTTACCATGAGAGGAGCTAACCAAAAGTGCATATTGTTGTTGTTTTTTCTATAGTATCCAGAATATGTTGCGTGCTTTTCAGACATAGGAGTAATGGTCTCTGTCCAAATGTGCTCATAAGCACATTTTACACTAAACAGAACAAGCATGTGGTTTCTTTAATGACTTTAAGAAATAAAAATACTTTTCATTAATAGGGTATAACAAAAATATAATTTTTGATTAAAGCCAAGTATTTTCTCTCTGCCACTGGCATGGTGTCATGATGTCATGTACCTGAAACAATTCTCGACCTTTGATTAACCAATAAAGCAGGAGTGAGCAATATCTAAGAACCCCACTTTCTATAGCTCCCATTGGCCGGGAACAGTGAACTATGGCCAATGGGAGCTTCAAGCAGCTGTTCCTGCAAAGGCATAGGTAAATAAAGCACCGGTGGCCCACCAGGGTCTAATCCTGGTGAGCCGCATCTAGCTTATTGCCCATCTCTGCAAGAGAGGCTTTCCAAAACTTGCAGCGTAATGACCTTGTGTGTCAGTCAGACAGGAAATCTTCAATATGTACATGATTTCGATCATGATCATGTTTGCTGGGGGAAGTTACCTAATAAATGCCTGTCTGGCATTGAGTGCTGAGATAAATGTGGCCCCTGGACTGTGTATGAATATTATTTGTTTTTCAGATACTTTTTTTTTCTGATATATTATATAGCTAGGAATTTCAGAAAGTGACTAATGATTTTGAGTGCCCAAATTGACAACTTATTTTCCATCTTCTGGAAGTAAGACCCCTTTTTGAGGTGTCTGAAGTTAGTCTAACAAAAGCACTGATCACTTCTTCAAATAGTAGTCCATAATTTAAAATGTTAGTGATAGAACACTCTCTCTCTCTCTCTCTCTCTCTCTTTTTTTTAAACTGTCATGTGACTATTCAGTTTTATAAATGATATAATATTTCTAGGCTAACACCACTCTTTTTGATACCTATGATGTGGAGCTTACAAAAAAAGATGGACAGAGTCTTGGTATAACCATTGTTGGATATGCTGGAACATCGGATGTAGGTAAGTTGTAAATTAGGAAGGCCCAAAGCAGGGGTTTATCTAATGACCAGACTGGCCTTCTGTTTTTGCTGAAGTCTTTGATACTTGCGGCATAGCTCAGTGTGCACTTTCATTTCATTTCTTTAATGAGTTCAGTGTCTGAGATTTAAAGACCTACTAGATTATTCAGTCCATCTCTCTGCCAGTGCATGCCTGCAAGCATTTCAACAGTGTTTAATATGTGTGCCATTTTCACAACGTGATTCTTTTTCAGCAGCCAGCTATTTCATATTTTGCCCTAGTGTCTGAGCTTTGGGAGCACACCAAAATATCTGTATGTTATTATGGACGCATAGAGTTCTTTTGTCCAGCTATCTATCAGTGTTATCTTTGAGTCGTCATTGTCGAGTGTCAAGTCACTACAGGTCAAGTCCCAAGTCGAGTCTCAAGTCTTAATTTAAAAAATGTCAAGTCACTTTTGTACAAGCCATAAATATTGGCATTTTTGGACAATTTTTTCACCAAGTCGATTTAACAAAATTAGCAACTCTCAGGTTGAGTCTCAAGTCACAAACAATGAACCCGAGTCGAGTCTCAAGTTGAGTAACCTAGGCGACTTAAGTCAGACTCGAGTTCAAGTCGTGGAACTCGAGTCAATAACTCTTATATCTATACAATAGAAAAACATGTTTGTGAGAGAGATTTCACAAGGGACTTGTCTGAGGTAAATTATGGAATTGTTAAAACTAAATGTAAAAGGATAAGTAAAGCCTTGATCCAGCAAAGAACTTATGTTTAGACATGAAGGATGTGCTTAAATACTTCCCCTGAAGTAAAATTCATCATATGTAAGGGTGCATCTACACTGCATTCTTAGCTCGAAATAAGCTACACAGTTTGCATAGCTTATTTTGAGTTAATTTCAAAATTGCTAAACTACAAAATAAGCTAAGTCTACACAGTGCCACATTTCAAAATAAAGAGCTAATCTGAAACATCTCTGAATCCTCATGGAACAAGGTTTACAGAGACCTTGGAATAGCGAGCCGATTATGAAGCGTGCCCATTATGAAACAAGCCCATTATTTCAAAATATAGAAACAAAATAGTTATTTCGGGATACTGGAAGTATCCTGAAATAGCGTTGCAATGTAGATGTACCCTAAGTGACTTGGTGGAGCAAAGCCAGTATAGGCATGGAAACTCACCTACCAAAGAGAGGGCCTTTCTGAGCAGGATGAATGAAGTAGGGTAGTGCCAGGGTGCTTGCATTGCTCTTCTTTTGAGTACAGATTTTTGAATCATGCATAATTACTAAATGATTGAGTCTTGTGATTTCAGTGTTCATTTATGATCGTGATGAGATACAACCTCATTCCGCTTGCGGATCCGTGCCTCAAGAAGTGCATGGTTCTTGAACTGTAAATAAATTTATACTTGACAAAATGCCCGAATTAGTGCTTTAATTTATTTATTCTTTTTTTTTGTTTTGTTTTATTTGTTAAAGCAGATTCTTCAGGGATTTATGTGAAAAATATAATATCCGGCAGTGCTGCAGATCACAGTGGACTTATACAAGTCCAGGACAAAATTGTTGCTGTAAGTAAAATATTTCATTTGGATACTATTTTGGGACTAGCAGTTGTTTAATGTATATTTGGATTTTTAAAACGCATTCCACTAAAGCTCGTTCTTAATACACTGTAAAGCCTATCTAGTTTCCTTGCTTTTACAATGTTGGCAAATTAATGGCTATGCCAACAAGAATTAGTACTTGAGTACATAGCTCTGGCTTGGATTGGTTAGATTATAAGTGTACAGGCAGTCCCCGGGTTACGTACAAGATAGGGACTGTAGGTTTGTTCTTAAGTTGAATCTGTATGTAAGTCGGAACTGGCGTCCAGATTCAGCCGCTGCTGAAACTGATCAGTCTGGACACCAGTTCCGACTTACATACAGATTCAACTTAAGAACCCCAGGCATCCCCAAGTCAGCTGCTGCTGAAACTGATCAGCGGCTGATTCCAGGAAGCCCGGGACAGGGGCTTCCTGTAGTCAGCCACTGGTCATTTTCAACAGCCTCCGGCTTTGGGGCACCCGGGGGCGAGCAAC